GGGGGCAGCAGAGAACACACATGCACACGTGCACGCACCTGCCCGGGCCTCGTCCTCCGAGGCTGCCCTGGGCTGAGAAGGGTGCTGGGGTGCTCCCAGGTTTAGAAAGCTCCCCGGGTGTAATTCAGGTGGAGAGCCACCGGGGAGAGGGGAGCGTCTTCACTGTGCGCAGAGGTCGGCCCCTGGGCACAATGAACACCTCTGTCCCCCTCCCAGGCCTCAAGGACCCCACTGTCTAAGGGAAGAGGGCGGCGTGCCTGGGGGTGCAGGGCGGGTGTGTGCCTGTGGTGAGGACAGCAGGGTCCCGGGACCTCCTGCGGCCGCCAGCTCTCCCACCAGAAGAGTCTGCAGATTCGCCACCTCCGCTTGGAAGGGGCGCGTGTGAGCAGAGGGACGGGGGTGGGGGGTGAGGGGTGCCGCCCTTGATGGGTTTGTTTCGGCCTCACCCCTGGTCCCAGGGGCCAGGATGCGGCCAGAGGAGCAGAGGGCACGGCAGGCAAAAAGTCACGGGTCCCCACCATGGCCTCGTCTCCCCCTCCTCCGAGGCCTTGGCAGGCCAAGGAGCCAAATCGGAACATCCCAAACCACCTGTCGTCCCTGCGGACTCGCGGCCACCGGGGCCCGGCCCTGGGACTGGAAGTCAGCCCGTCAGCGTGTCAGCACCGGGCCATGTAGTCCTGGTCCTGCCTGCGCCCAGGGCACGAGGCTGGCAGTAAAACACGTCCCAGCCGGGGAGGCGAGCCCTGGGAGCTGCAGCCTCGACGGCCAGTTTGCCTGCGTTTCATCTCGCCCAAGCCAGGTCACCAGACGCCGCCTCGCAGCCGAGAACACTGGCACTGCCCCAGCTCACCCCGTCCTCCTGCGCGTAAGACGTGGGAGGAGGTGCCGCAGGGCCGCAGGCTGGGGGGGCACCAACACCCTCTGGCCGCTGCTGTGCGTTCCCCCTCCTCCGGTGAGGGGAGCAGGACAACCTTCTCTCCTCCTGTCCCGCCACCCAATGCCTGTCCCTTCCGAGCCTTTACAACAGAGGTCCCCCGAGGGCCGCGGCCGCAGCCAGGGCCCTGCCTCCTCGCTGCCTCTGCTCTTGAAGGGAGTGAAGGACGTGTTCTCAGGAGGGACATGTGAGATGCACCATCAAAAGCAAGTTCTGTCTTGTCTCTCAGCGCGAGCCGGCCCCTCATCAGCTGCTTCCGAGCAGCTCCTCCCTGCCCACTGAGGCGCCCAGGGAAACGGGCCGCCCTGTGCCCGCCCACGGAGCCCCTGAGCACCCCGGGCAGGAGTCCCGGACTCTGACCCGCCTCTGACCCCCGAGCTCCGCTCTCCGGACTGAGCCCTGAGGGTGGCCCAGCCTGAGGGGCAGGGAAGCCAGCGGGGCCCTCTGTGTGGGCTCACGGAAACGCCCCTTCTGGGCCAGAGGCCGGGAGGGACGGAACCAAGCAGCGTGGAGAGGGCTCTGCTGGCGGGTTCGTGGAACTGGCAGAAGGGGGAGGGAGGAGGGCCAGGAGAAGTACCCAAGACAGAGCTGCCGGGAGCCGGGGAGCCGAGGGGCCCACTCGCAGCCCCACCCGGAGGGCAGGCGCCTGGGGCCCCCAAGGCCCTGCAAACAGCCAGGCTGCTGAAATAGCTCCCCTGGGCGGGGCCGGCCGGGCCGGTGGGCGGGGCAGCAGCAGTCCAGGGCTCTGCTAGAACAGCCGCGAGGAGAACAAACAAGTTCTCACTTCGATCAGGTTAAGTCTGTCGCACCGGAAAGGAAACCACAAACACTAGGAGTGAAAAGCAGGGGAAAGGAGCCCAGAGGCAG